GGAGGCTCGTACCTATTTGCTTAGTTAAATCCAGGTGGCGACTTTTTTTTTGGCCAGGCAGTGTATGAGTCCACTATATAGCGTATATTAATTTACACTAAACATTCGGACAGCACTACAAAATGGCAAACACACTATTTAGTGAGCAGGGAGTGATTTCGGACACAGCCTCAGGCTAGAACAAAGGAAACACTTTGCACATCTATTAAACAAGACAGGTACCCTGGAAATCCAGAGTTCTCGCGAGAGCACAATTTGAATTTGCTCAGTGAGTCACTCTGGCAATCAGTAATGATGCTCATTACCCATGCTGTTGGAGCCGAGCTGCACCAATCACATCGGTGTATCTGATATAGGCGGGCCAGAGGAGAGCTAAACAGATGACGACAGCGCTGCGACAACGAAGTCCGGAATCAGTCAGTAAACATTGCAAGATGGCTACGGATGAACACCAGTTGTTTGAAACAGCTTTGGCCGCTACAATGAACGAGTTAGACTTGGCTTTTTCTCTAAAAGAGGAACAGAAGACGGCGCTCGAGTCTTTCCTTTGCAAGAAAGACGTTTTTGCTGTTTTGCCGACAGGATATGGCAAGAGTCTAATCTACCAGTTAGCTCCGCTGGTAGCTAAGCTCTGGATACGTCACCCTGTGTATTGTTCTGATTGGTCGTAGTGTTATCCAATTGCGTGCAGTGATATTTTCAAATGCATGCTTGGAGTTGGGCCATTTTCATTACTCATAGCCAGACCCTAAATCTTTCTAGATTTGGGTCTGGATTTCCAGGCTACAAGACAGGTGTGTTCGGGAAGACCAAAAAGTTGCAAAAGGACTCCCGCACACTGCCTAACTTGCAATATATAATTTATTTGCGACGTTTCGGTACTTGACCTGTTTGCCTGATGAAGGTCTAGTACCGAAACGTCGCAAATAAATTATATATTGCAAGTTAGACAGTGTGCGGGAGTCCTTTCGCAATTTTCTTAGTGATAAAATATCTTTTCAGCAAATAGTTATATCATCAAGAGTATCGTTATTGCAAAAATACCCTGAAATATTCTGATATTATTTTAGGGCCACCTTGGTTTTGCATCTCTTTGTGGTCATTTTGAGTCTCTTCCTAGTTGGTACGTGTTAATTTGAGGGACATTTTGGGCCCTGGGCCTTTGCCCAGTAGGCCCATTCAGTGATCCATCCTTGACTAAATGTATTATAAACTCAATTAGGTGGAGATATTGGAAATGTGTTATTTCTAGTTAATCGACAAAGGACTCGGCTAATAAAATGTGTAAAGGCCCGGGCATCATAATCAAACACATCAACAGACAGACTGAAAATAAAGAAATACAAACTGCTCAGTTTCAGTTTCAGTAAGTCCCTTTAATTTCAGAAGACTCTTTAATTGCATCAACATGGCAAAGATAGTTAATTTGTAAATCATATTAAATTTCCATATTTCAAATCCAGCTCATAATCAACTGAGATAAACCTGATCTAATATTTCTTCTTCTCTAACAATTTCAAATGAATCATTTAAATATACTGCGGATATATTTCATTTCTCTGTCAACAAGTCAGGGGAAAATTATCAGACAACACTTCTCTTTCATAAAACAAGACAATTATCAGAAAATTAACAATTTCCATATAAATGCTTTCAATTTAAGAATTTAAATTTCGTACAAAGTATATATCACAGTGATGTCTGTCATTGATTTGGGCACAGGTATTATTAGTCAATGCATCTAAAAGCATAAGGAGAAAATCCAACCAATTGTTTCTTAAAAGATGCTGAAAAAATATTAGACTTATTAATTTGCAGATTTGGATTCTACTTGATTTTCTATGATTATGCTGATTAAAAAGCTTTTTGGCAAGAGGCACCTAACTTTTTTTATCTTTTTAAATCGCAACTACGAACAAGAAGTGCAAATTATACATGACCTACGAAGCATCAAACTACTGCCCCCTTCATTCTGTTTTGTTTCTGTCCTGTAGTGCAAGTCAGGGGAACAGTTCTTGCAAGTCATGCCCAAATAGTCTTCTCAACCAAGCAACAACGAAACCCTTTAATCCCTATTACGAAATACTGACCAATATCAATTGCACTTCACATTTCACCAACAAATGGTCATGGTTATGACGGTCAACGCAGGGCGATACACGGTCATCTATACAGAAAAATGCCCTCCAAACACAAACTCTACAAAAACAAAGATAAAACAGACTGACACACAAACGATTGCACACCTTAGAGAGATGTTCTCCGTTAAGTTAAAAGGCAAATGGTAACTGACTACTAAAGAGCAAGGTCGTGATGTGATCGGCTCATGGGATGACCTACGACAGTAGCCTGGCACACTGAGTGAGTCCTTAGTGGAACATCTGCTTCCAAGTCACATTCAGAAATAATACTGACCCCAGCCAGTCTCCAGGGACTGCAGCTGAATGCTTTACTGATTATTCACAGCATTTGTATTAAAAATGAAATTCTAAGTAGAACAGTTGGTGGCAAAAATCTGACATGACCTTCTTCTTACACCAAGTAATCGACTGTTGTCCATAGCTCTGTTAGGTCAGAGATATACTTGCTTTTAACTGTGTTTGTGTGCACATCATGGCTGCCTCACGTCACGTGCGTTCATTTGGAGTGTTTGTTGGGCACGTCCTCAAAAATCAACGGGACGTGTCCTCAAAATGTGATACACACATGAACGGTCAGGGCAGTGTTGGCAGAACGAGAGAAAGAAACTCACCCCCGTCATGATCTGCTTTATACATACTAGCTATGAGGGTGCTGCTGCCGCTTTTTCTGCCGTGAGCCACACTGATCTCAGAATTAACAATACAATAATCTCCTGGAGTGTTGCCGTGTTTATTGTTTACATGACCCAAATATGGAAGTTCTATATCGTCTAATGTTCGTCAAATTTTTGCTAGGCATTACTAGGGCAAGTTTGAATGCTAGAAAATTTGTGTTGACTTCCTTCATACGCGCAAATAACTTGCGTCATACGAGCATAAAATCTCTGTATTTCACTTGGCACGTCCTCCTCGTCATACGTCCCCGGAGGATCTCAATGCTGACTGGCTATCGCAGTGCAAATTGGTCGCTGAAGTTCGTATTTTTCAACTCTCGTGAATAAACGTATGACCCGAAATTGTTTTATTCGCACCCAGTGGACACACATTAGTTCTCTGGTGCGCCCTCTAGTGGAATCCTGCAGTAACACACGTAGTACACAAACGAGAGTGAATGATACTTTCTTTTACGACGCAACCCACTGTCTATGCAAACACATGATTAGAAAACAAGCATGTCTCCAGCCTTACTGTCAAGATGTCAGTATGCGGCCAGCATGTTTCTTAAATTCTTTGCGGTGGGAGCGCCGACACTTTGCTACAAACACCAGCAGCCTGACGAAGCACTGAGCATCTATCCTGTGCTGAACGCTACACGTTTGGCAATTGTTTTCTGGTCGTTGAGAAATGTTGAACTCTGGGTAAAATGCTGCAGCTGCTTGTCACTGTTACTTTTAACAAGCCGTCCAATCACAGTGGAGGAGGGGCAAGACAAATACCAGAAAAACCAACTGGAGAAACGAAAAATTAATTCAGAACCCACATCGATAGGCAGGTTCGTCCGTTCAGCCTCCCCTTCACCCAGAGCAAGCACTCTACCTTGTGCTGACAGTTTTACGTCCGCGGATATTTCGTATCATAGCAACCAGATGCAAACAAAGCATCTTAGCTGAAAAAGCACTTAATGCTTAATGCCCATTTATGTAAGTATTTAATTTGTTTTAAAACTGTCATCTTTGTCTATTAGGAGGCATCAATAAAGCTTATTTTTAAGCACTAAAACTGTTTAAATGAAACATTTTGCCAAATAAAAAAGGCGCTAATACCATATGTTGTGTTATTGAGGCACTCTTAGTCCCTGCACAGTGACAGCCATGACTGTGTCGGACATTAATGTAACTTTCCAAAAAGTTTCCCTGTGTGCAACTGAGTGACAAACTATGACTGCCATCAAGGAAAGATTGTTGGTGCAGTTACGCTTCAGTTAAGGTTTTTCACCCCACCGATGACTGTGGCTGCTCTTTCACCTCCAAAATACAAGTTGATTTCGAGCATACTGACACCTTAATGTTATCCAGGTCACAATTTTGGCCACCAAAGGTTCGTACTTGCCAGAGTCACAGGTTAAATTCCACTCTTAGCTTTGAGTTTTTACTTATTTAGTGACGATGAAAATGATGAGATGAGTTTAGGTAAAATTCACAATCAAAGCAAAGCCACTATAAAGCCCATGTAAAGGTTTATTATCTTGATTAAGCCTGCACCAGAAGCAAACCCCAGACATTCCCCTTACACTCAAACAAGCGAGACGTACCTCTGTACATGATTAGGTTAGATTCCCTTGATCTCCGGCTAATAATAAAAAGAGCAGCACACTGGCATTTAGTGGTATAAGGGAGGCGTTCGGGGATGCTTCTGGACAGAGCGGACTACCTTGGGGAGCAATACCTCCTCTTCTTTTACGTCTGCCATCATTTCTCTATCTTCAGCTACAGGTGCAAGTCCTCTTGCAGTAAGGGCTGCGACATCTCCCTGCTTCTGTGTTTTAGTGAGGGCAGCTGTTTGAGCGTCACTTGTCTGATGTAGACCACCAGAAAGCCCAGCACCATCACCACGCCCAGGAAAGAACCAACGACGGGGGCGTAGGAGTATCCATTGACTCTGGGAGTGAGGGTGGGGGGCGGGGATGGAGTAGGCTCCACAGACAGCAGGTCCTGAACGTTTAAGAGGGAGCCGTTGTTTGGTAGAGGGTGGATGGACAGGATGTGGCACATGAGAGGGTAGAGGTCCACAGAGCGCATGAAGTGCTTGACGTAATTCTGCCGAAAGGCCGGCCCACGGGCCACGAACACAGGCTGCATGCTGGGTAGGGAGTTGTTATAGCCGTGGTTCCCAACTGGAGAGAAAAGAAAAATGTTTGCATAAAGAGGTTCAGTACTCTGATGTTAATTATTCTTGCATTGTTGATCTATAGATCTCCAGTTTCCACATCCGCTTAATTACAGGCAGAGATTTATGGAATCTGGCACTGCTGCTCTCTCAGATGATTTACTACCGTCACCGCTGCCCCAGCTGACTCGTTACTGCTCAATCAATCACGGCAACACATGTGCAAAAATGAAAACACACAAGCACACAGACCTTTGATGAACGCTTAGACTGACTGACGACTGCAGTTTTTTTAATGACACCAGTAACGCTACGGAGCAATGTTTTGATTTTTTTATGTTTAGTTTATATTGTTCACATGTATGATAACAGACGTGCAAGGGGTGACGTAACACGCTGTCGAGTTGGCTCAATTTTCTTTTCTTTGTAACCAATTTTTATTCAGCAAATTGCATATGTGATAATACAGTAACACAATTTAATGCATGTCTTTTTAAACTGAAATATTGATATAAATAAATATTTAGAGATTCATAATACAGTATCATCATTGACCTTCTTTGCAGTTCGAGGTGTCCTGTCAACAGTTTTATAGATGTCTCTTTTATAATGTTGATTTATGGAGAAAATGCTTTTTGGGCTTCACAGGATTTTTTCCCCGCTGTAATACCGCGAGTGGCCACTGGGAAAAATTGTAAGCAAGGCTGAGCTGCATTTCTCCCCTGTCTGCAACATAATGGAGATCAAATTTCAGTAGAGGTGGGAAGGTGAAGATGCGCACAGTGCAAGGTGTGTTTGTTTACTAGGAAGTTCATGTGTTTTTTGGGGTGACAAGACGAGAGGGCTCTGTCAAGCCCCTTTTGTACAAGGGGCAGGAATATTACGTCGTTTTTCTGCCTCCCTGATGTATGGACATGGAATTGGGGGGGTGGGGGGGGCATTGTTGTTCGGCTGTTAAACTGATAGTGGAGGTAGTATCAGGGCCGCGTCTAATGCTGGGTTCCAGACAACCCAGAGTTCAAAATTTCCAACCTGCTACTAAACTGGAACACCACTCAAAGTAAACTTGGCAAATCCATCTACCTTGACTTTATGAAGAAAAGTTAAGAAATAGCTGACGTCACACAACAATGGCAGCACACATGAAAGTGCACATTACAAATGGTGAACCGTCACCTAAAAGATGCCTGTGGATATTCTCATTCATCCAGGTCATAGTTATCTCAAGGCAATTGAATCGAACGCAGCTGGACTTAGCTTTGTCTTAGAAGACGTTTCACCTCTTATCCAAGAGGCTTCATCAGTTCATGCTTGTCAGCCTAGGCTGGAAGTAGTCTGACAAACTGGTGTGGAAACAACCCAGGTATTTAACCTCTGGGGAGGTCTTCACAAGGCCAATGATGTCACTGGTTCGTTAGTGCTCCAATGGTGTGTCAACGATGGTCGTTGAAACTCCTGCTGCAACGGTGATCGTTGGAGTCACATGAGGCCATTTGTGAATGACCATTGTTTTTAGAGGTTAAGCTGTTAAATCTCCTGGGCAAGGATGAAAGGACAGCATGATCTAAAAGGCAACATACAGTATATTTGCCTGTATTTAATTAAAATTATACATACTATCATCATGTCTTGTTTTTCCTCCTCTGTTTCATTTATATATACAAAGAGGCTGCACTGTTCGGAGTCCATGTGTATACACTTGCCAAAGAAACAAGTTTGTCAAGGTCAGCCTTGTGATTAGTTTGGCACTGTGCAGCATTGTGCAGTGGCTGCTGAGTCAAGTAAGACACCTAGTGTTACAAGATGGTACACAGGTCCAGTCCAATGTTTGGCTTAATATCAAATCAGTTTGAACATTTTCACACCAACCCAACCCTAATGCACAGTCCTGCCAATGGTTTCATGCTATTCCACTGATTACACCAATAAAGGCAGGGAAGAAGTGGACTGCAACTTAACATGGTGTTTGTTTTTTTGTTTTTTAAAAACTAGCTTTGCAAATGTTCTATGAAGAAGGACATGTTGTTAGACCTCAAAAGCCCAGTTCAGACAACAGATGACACAATGAGACGAGTCGAAGCATGCAACTACATGCAATGCGCCGGTCTGCAACTTTCTGAAAACTTGAAAGAGTTGGAGATTCCGAGTCATGAGACGGTGTATCATCTCTATGCAACAACACTCTGTACCTCTGCTCTGATTGCAGCTTTTCAGGCTTATTTTGTGGCTGAATATAATTTGTAGCTTCTCAAAACATAAATGAGGATAGTGATAGCGAGATACTGGCTGCAAAAAATCATAAAGCTGAAACCAGCCGCCAGAAATTCAACCAGAGAGCAACATTCTACAATGATTTCGTCTTGTCGCAAATAACTGGTCTAAGCTGGGGTAAAGATACGCATAATGCAACACATCCCTGAATTCATCTGTTGTGTCTTTGACACAGGGCAGAACTGTGATGTGGCTGTGCCTTTAATATTCAGCCACCAGGAAGTGCAGGTCCAGTTCACATACACTGATAATAATCATTAATAAGTGAGTATTGATGTGGTTCATGCAGCCTGGGTCTACGCCAATATGTCTCAGTGCCTTCCCTCTAATACACTGAGGAGCAGAAGTCTCCACTGCTAGACAGTAACAGCTTTGCTTTTATCACTCAGGCCTATTGATCTCTCATAAATCAAACAGCTATACGGTAGAAACAACTTTTGATATGCAGGCCAGTGTGCATGCTAAGCAGTCTCACACCACGTCGTTACTGTGGACTGAGAGTCAGCAGGTTTTCAGTCCAGCCACAGACTCCATCAGGTCATTTTACTGATTAACAAGCCTTCAACAGGAGAGCAGGAAAATTAGCTGCTGTAATCTGCAATGAGAAACTCCAGATACACCGTTTGAGATCTCTAAGGCGAAGAGTAAAATAACAGGTTAATTTAAATAGAAGAAAAAATAACTGCACTTGGAGGCGGTGCAGGAGAAACCTCCAAACCTACACACACGCACTCCTGCTGTTTCTAAGGGAAAACAAATCTGGCGTTCTTTGTTAATTACAGCTGCTATTACACGAGCCAGCTTTGGTTTAATGACTGAAAAACCTCCTGTGAAGTTATTATTAGAGCAAACAGAACCTGCTGCTTGAAACAGCTGCAAAAAAAACTCTGTTTAATCACGTACAGCCACAAATGCAGCTTTCTGAGGTTTGAATACGTACGCATGTAGCGCCTGCTCCTGTTCTGCATTATGGTCCAGCCCTCCTTGGACTCGATGAGGATGGGCATGATCCTGACGTTGTGCTGATAATGGAAGTGCTCGGGAACGTCTTCCTTCTTGTACACCATCATGTTCGGGTTTGCGTCCACCAGCTTACTGTACACCTCCTCCAGCTTCCCTGGAAAACAGAAGACAAACAATGATAGAATTTATTTTTTAAAAAACCCATTTGATTCTAGGTTAAAGCACGGCTTCACAATTAATAGAAATATTATTGAAATTAAAATATGGCCAAATGTTAGAGGTGGGAAAAAAGAATCGATACAGCATAGTATCGCGATATTTTGCATTGTGATATGGTATCAATGCACAGATCAATATTGATATTTTATTCTTGAAAATAATGTTGCAAATACAAATTAAACTTTTGGAACCCATATAAAGTATTAAAATCAATTATTTTTCAGTCCACTAGATGCAGGTTGCTGCAATAAAAATGATTCAGTTTATTTTATTGGATAAAAACAGACGTTGACAAAGTTTTTTTATTAATTTGCATTTGAAAAAAGGTTTAAATCCTAATATATCGCAATATATGTTTCTGCAATACTCAGAATATTACAAAAGATTTAAAATTTCTAAAATATGTGTATATACATTATTAGAGGAGAGTTTGCATGTTCTCCCCGTGTCAGCGTGGGTTTCCTCCAGGTGCTCCAGCTTCCTCCCACAGTCCAAAGACATGCAGGTTAATTGGTGACTCTAAATTGTCCGTAGGTGTGAATGTGAGTGTGAATGGTTGTCTGTCTCTATGTGTCAGCCCTGTGATAGTCTGGTGACTGATAGTCTGACGCCTCTCACCCAGTGTCAGCTGGGATAGGCTCCAGCCCCCTGTGATCCCTAACAGGCTAAGTGGTTACAGACAATGAAGGAATGAATTATTAGAGAGCAGATCGATGTCTGTCATGTCTGAGAGTGGTATGGATCTTCTCATCAAACTCTTTTGCCTGATATCAGACAACTCGTTACACTTCATTTTCACCTTCAGTCTGACGTGTCCACTCTAACCGATCGCCACGAGTTAAGGGGATTTAAATTTTCTAACCGATCATTAGAGACCAAAGCATTTGCCTGAACCTGTCATTTTAAGCAGAGTGTAAATGAACTATGATGTCAGGCGATATTGAGAGGACATGTTAACTTAGAACAGCCTCGACAGCAGTGTCTGTCTTGTCTTTAGCAGTTGGTAATGTAGTTACTACTCCTCACTGGTTCTGGCACACAGCTTGACAACAGCATTAGTCATGTCCATGGTGCTGACTGGATAATTGTACATTGGATCGATCAATTATCAAGCGAGAAAATGCTGTTTCATGTCACAATGACAGACGAATCAGTCAACTCACAGAGTGGACGTATTTAAAGGTCTTGACCTGGGCAACTAACTCTCTGTAAGAAAGCAAATAAGCATATTTCCCAAAATGTAATGTGACAGATGTTTTAAAGTGTTACCTTCTTTGGGCAGTATCCCCACCACCGGACTCTTGTCCACCCAGGTGTACAGGTCTCTGCTCACGTACTCGTCCAGCTCTATGATTTTATTGGGGGAGAGCTGCGCCATCCCGTGGTCACTGGTCACGATCAGGTTCACCTTCTCATACAGCCCTGCCTTCTTCAGCTCGTTTATGAGGAAGCCGAGATTCTCGTCGATCCCGGCGATGACTTTGTCCATGAGGGTATTGAGGGGTCCCAGGGCGTGCCCGCTCTCATCCGGCTCCTCCCAGTACAGAACTCCAAAATCCACTGCTTCTTCTTTGGGTGCAGAGAACCACTCAATAATCCGCTCCACCCTGCTTTCAAAGGAGACGGAGGAGTTGTACTGGAGGTACTGGTTAGGGAACATGCCATGGATCTTCACATCAGATCCCGGCCACATCGCAGCCCCGCTCCGCCCTCCAGCTTTCTGAATGCTCACCCAGAGAGGCACCGCCTCCTCCCACCACCGTGAGTCATAAATACTGTCCGTCTCCATGGAGAAGGAGCGGTTCAGAGTGGGGTCGTACATCTCAATGGCCACGATGCCATGCGTCTCAGCATACAGCCCCGTCACCAAGCTGTAGTGGTTGGGGAAGGTTTTGGTGATGTAGGCGTTCTCCACCCGCTCCACCAACACTCCGTCATCTATCAGGCTGCGAAAGTTAGGCACCGGGACCCGGTGGATGTAATCCCAGCGGAAGCCGTCAAAGGACACGAGCAGCAGCTTGGGCCGCTCCCTCACGCTGTGGCTCCTGTGGCCGTGTTGGTTCAAGCGATGGAGAGAGACCAGCGGCAGCAGCAGCAGGGCCCACAGGCAGACCAGAGGACTGCGGCCTCCTCGCAGCAAGCAGCCCAGCATGGTGTGGCGTGTGACGAGAAAACCTACAAACACACACACAAACTGCTCAGGAAGAATTCAGTGAGGCTAAACAATTAATCCCTCTTATCTAGGAAAAGGTATAAAGACAGCCTGCTCACATGCTGCTGTGTAATTATGTTTTGGGGCTGTTTTGATGGTTTGGCCTAAATTTCTGACAGAATGTTTAAGAAAAAGATCCTGCAAGTTATTATAATAAGAAAACTTTCTTGAAATAACAGGAAACTGTCAAAATAATGAGTTTGTATCTCAAAATAATGACAAACTTGTGGCTGTTGTCAGGATTGTCTCACAGAGAGCATCATCCAGACCTGTTGAAGTTGGATTAAACAACAGATTTGCTCAAAAATGTAACATAAAAATAAATGTCATGTTTTACATGTAACCTAAGCTGAGGTAGTTTTCTAAGTTTAATGTGCACACCTTGAAAAGTGCTGTATTTCATGTCTGCATCATGATAACAGTAAGCATAATACAACCTAGGAATACATGAAATGGACACAAAGTCTTAACAGTGCTTTATGAAATGTGTTAAAATGACCTGTTGGCAACACAAAAACAAAACCCATGCAAAGTCAGAGAGGATCTTTGTTGTGGTAGACACACAAATTAAGTATAAAGATTGAGAAAGTCTGCTCATGGAGATTTGGAGGAGTGGTGGATGGGTCAAAGAAACACTCCCTTAACCACTGAAGAAAGTGCTGTGCATTAACAGGAGGGGAAAACACCGGTATCAGTTCAAATGTGAATGGTACCCAAACCTAACCACCACATAGTGCCTTGTTGGGAGTTGTCTGTGAGACTGTGTTGCACTATGATGTTAATTCCACTACAGATGAGACTTAATGCTCTCTGCATTCAGGTAGAAAAAAAATATGTGCAGATATCGGCAATCGGCCAAAATTAGATGAAAAATATCGGCCTATCAGCAAAATCAGTGGTGTAACAGTAGCATATGAGATGGGTGTACCCCTATGTAGATAGGTAGGTTACTGTGGAGGAAGTGGGTATACTGTCCTATATATTCCAATGTTTTTTGGCTTTTTGATGGGAATACTCTGTACCCTCCACTACACCACTGCAGTGTTAATTTTGTTGATGAAAACTATGACAAAAAAATTTTGTCGACCTTTTTCCATGACAAAACAAGATGATGTCGAGCTAAAAATAGATCTTGATAACAGAAACTAAGACAAAATCAATGTTTCATTTTCAGTGAAGAGACGACAAAAATGTTAGCGGTGGACTATAAAACAGTGAAAGCAGAGATCAGCTGTGCTTGCAGCTATCTTCAAATGCCTCATGAGCGACAGGTTGGCAAACTCCAGGAAATAGTCAGCGCCAGGATGTTTTGCTAGCCAGCAAAAGCACTGACACTGGAGCAGCGTCAGCCGTTGATGCAAGCTGTGAGCTGTAATTCATCAGTAAATATTCAGCTGTGTGTCTGACTTTGCGGAATCTGTTCGTTGCAGCAGTGGCTGTTAGTAGTTAGCTCCACTTGTAAGCTGCTGAATGGCAGCGGAGCAAGTAGCCACTGGCTGTCGGACTTCACATCTAATCCCTGCAGGACTCCTTGTCATCTCAGATTAGTTATTTGTGGTGTCAACGTTTTTGAGAGCATAAACAGAGAGATGTTGAGCCTTTCAAATGATGATCATTAAGTGTGTACTCGTAAATTTATTTTTGTGATCAACTTTTTATTTTGTTTTTTCTTAAACAAAAATATGACAGAAAATCAGCCCTTAAACCTGTCAAACGCAGCTGGAGAAATGAAAGTTTCTAAGCGTGCAGAAATTATTCTTAGCTATTATTCTTAGAATTGTCAAAATGAAATTTTTATATACGTTTGATTCTAATTTCTGATACGTGAATAAGCCTCACCGGATTAGTTTACAGAAAGAAAAAAAAACATACAGAAAACATAAAGACTAAAAGTTTACTAAAATGTCTTGAATTTCTGTCCACTAAATTTTTTTATTTTTATTTTTTTACTTAAGCCTTTTGAAATTTCGTCTACTTAAATGTTTCAAATTTTTGTTGACTAAAATTTTTTTGAGTTTTCTTCTAAAGCTATGAAGGATCTCAAGACTAAGACTAAATCTTAAATAGCTGTCAAAAATAAGCACCACCATTGAGCAAAACAATCTAATATGGTGCATCTCTAACAGATCTCTAGTTCATACTGTTGTTTAGGCAAAACAAACAATTTAAAAATGTCACCTTGCGCACTGGGAACATGTCATGGATCATTTTTATAGTTTAATAATAACCAAAATAATGACCCCAGTGTAGAAGTAGAGCTGATGAAACTGACAGTAGTATCAGTGTGATGCAGCTTTGATGTGCTGTTCCAGGCAATAACAAGTCGACCATGACACTGATATGATGTTGACATATCATCACAACATGGAGTGAGACAGCAGCTACAGTAAACAGGAAGCATCAGCACTCAAGACATTACAGGTCAGAGAGCAATGATGACACTGGACTGAGGTTATAATGACTGCAGCGCATCTGTAGCAGCGACTTTACTACAAATGTCCAAATGACAGTGAGACACATTAAAGAGGAAACACAGTCTCCGTGTTGTAGCACAGGAGCTGCTGCAGAGCTAACAGCCACAACACGCAGCTGTGCAACAACAAGACAACAACCACACACACAGCAGCACTTCAACATGAAGACAGGATCGATGCAGAGAAATGCACAAATTCAAAAGGCAACACGGGCTGCAGACTGTCAACAAGCTTACCTTGTTATCTGAACCTGCACTGGCTCGCCTCGCGCTGCACACTGAGATAAACAGCCGGAAGGAAGTCCCGCCTTTTAACCTGCTGTGTGTTTATAATAACGTCTGCGTCGCTTCTATTTACATATATGAAACCAAACCGGGTCATTTAAAGACAAAAGGCTGTCCGGTGTTCCCTGCGTGTGCATGCTTCGCTTCGTGAGGAGCTGCATCCCCCAAATACACTGCGAATGCACCGGTCCCGATGACGTAATGTAGGATGAGGAAGGGAGGAGGAAGGAGAAGGAGGGGCGGAGGGGGGGGGGGCGGTAGTATAAATAGACATCTCGGTGTCAGCGGGGTTACAGGCGTTTTGCTTTAAGATGACAAATTAAATAAATATGGAGAAGTGTGTCAGCGTGAAGGGCGTTTCATTTGGAGATGTGAAGCCGGAGGAGACTGAAAATAATGCTCCGCTGCTAAAAATAGTCCCCTTGAAAGACTGCTCTAATTCCGTCAGACCATGATAATGCTGGAAATGCAACGCAAAATCCGCCCTGTGCAATGATAATGACAGACTGTGTCCACGAGGTGTCAGTCACGTGCTGTCTGAGAGGAGTGGGGTCAGATTGGTGTCTTCATGCTCTGTTATAGGGAAGATGGCATCTCAATCATGACGCGGCATCGTCACACTGAGACTATTTCTGACCCACTGACAGGCCTCTCCATGTCAGCACACACCAACATCTGATACTGAGTGCTCCACTGCACCATTTTGATTCTCTGCTCATTTGGTTTTAACTGCAATTAGTCCATTTTTATTATTTGTATTGTGGTGGATATTGTTTAAAGCTCCTAAACAGCTGATACATTAATGTTTTTCAAGGTCAACAATCAACTTTTAAACTCTAAACTTGATTATTATTATATAACTTTATTATTATTTTATTGACCCTATATTATCCAGCTTGTATCTTTCACCCTGTGGCCATATTATCTGCACTTTCACCCCTGTGTCCTACCACTGTTACGCTGATGACTCCCAGTTGTACCTCTCACTTAGCCCTGAAAATCACAGCACCCTGGACTCTCTGCACGGCTGTCCTGCTGCTATTAATGACTGGATGGCCTTGATCGTCCTGCAACTGAACACAGATGAGACAGAGGTCGTGGTTATTGTCGTTCAATCCTGCTTTTTGCAAATCCAAAACATTGCCAAGATCAAACCAATACTCTCCAGATCCATAGTTGAGCAGCTTATCCACACCCTTATTTTCTCACGCCTACTGCAGCTCCCTGTTTACTTGCCCTGGTGACACATCAGTTAACTGTTCGACGTAGGGAACATATCACACCAGTCCTGGCTCAATCACACTGGCTCCCTGTTCAGTACAGATTTCAGTTTAAAGTTCTGTTGATTACTTTTAAATCCCGTCATGGTCTGGCCCCACTTTACATTTCAGAACACCTAAACCCCCTGTTCTGCTGCAAGATTCCTCAGATCAGAGAAGCACCTTATAACTTTGGTTTAGAAAAGTGCTATAGAAATAAAGTTATCATTATTGTTTGTAGAGCACTTGTGAGCATCCGAACACATACACTCCCATACACACAATAAATCTATTACCTGTCAGAAAAAGCCAATTTGTAAAATGAATTGAGAGATTACAGTGTGAAATGGATTTAAACATGAGCAACGGTCTGTTATTACTGTGGGTGCCCCTGGGCACAGACATGCAAAAGGCCCCCCTATTGGAGCAAGACATGCAATGTTTGTGGTGCTTTCGCTTATTTATTATTTTTATTATTATTATGCATCATTTTGTGGTTTTGTCTCTTTGTAGATTGTTGGAGCCTTATTTTATCCTTATCTAAACACAAGGTAGACACACAGTTTGTATTTAAATAAGTACTATACTTGAGGAAATGTTCTTGGCTACATTCCACTACTGCTTGAAATATACACTCACTGGCCACTTTATTAGGTACACCTTGCTAGTACCAAGTTGGACACCCTTATTAATTCTTGGTGTCAAAGATTCAACAAGATGCTGAAAACATTCCTCAGAGAAATTGGTCCATATTGACATGATGACATCACACAGTTGCTGCAGATTTGTCGGCTGCACATCCATGATGAGAATCTCCCGTTCCAGCACATCCCAAAGGTGCTCTATTGGACTGAGATCTGGTGACTGTGGAGGCCGTTGGAGTACAGTGAACTCATTGTCATGTTTGAGATGATGTGAGCTTTGTGACATGGTGCGTTATCCTGCTGGAAGTAGCCATCAGAAGATGGGTACACTGTGGTCATAAAGGGATGGACACGCTCAGCAACAATACTCAGGTAGGCTGTGGTGTTTAAACCATGCTCAGTTGGTACTAAGAAAATCTCCCCCACACCATTACACCACCAGCAGCAGCCTGAAGCGTTGATACAAGGCAGGATGGATCCATGCTTCCATCTGAATGTGGTTTTTCCAATCTTCTATTGTCCAGTTTTGGTGAGAAAACCCGTGTGAATTGTAGCCTCAGTTTCCTGTTGTTAGCTGACAGGAGTGGCACCTGGTGTGGTCTTCTGCTGCTGTAGCCCATCTGCTTCAAGGTTGGACAAGGTGTTGTTGCTTCAGAGATGCTCTTCTGCACACCTTGGTTGGAACCAGTGCTTATTTGACTTCCTGTTGCCTTTCTATCATCTTGAACCAGTCTGGCCATTCTCCTCTGACCTCTGGCATCAACAAGGCATTTTGGCTCACTGGATATTTTCTCTTTTTGGGACCATCCTCTGTAAACCCTAGAGATGGTTGTGCTGAAAATCCCAGTAAATACTCAGACCAGCCCGTCTGGCACCAACAACCATGCCACGTTCAAAGTCACTGAAATCACCTTTCTTCATCATTCTGATGCTCAGTTTGAACTTCAGCAGCTCGTCTTCACCATGTCTACTTGACTAAATGCATTGAGTTGCTGTCACGTGATTGGCTGAGTAGCTATTTGCGTTAACAAGCAGTTGAACAGGTGTACCTAATAAAGTGGCTGATGAGTGTATGGTAATCCTCTCATGAGCCCTCTGAATTGTGATCATATTTACTAGTCTGAATTATAACAAAGGCTCTGCAAATTCTGCATTACTTTAAGTCTAACATCACTTTTCAGATGGCTGAACAAAAGGCCACTGCAGTATTTTAATAGCATGGCAATAAGTAAGCTGAAATATTATTTAAAAGAAACTAAAGAATCATTTAATCAAATTATTTCAGGGAAACCTAAAATTTAAGGTCCCAGAGCAAGAACCCAAACCATTATTTAATTATAAGAATTTGTAGCCAACAATTATTTGAAGTTTTTCAGGCATTTGGCCAAAAACACAGTTTAGTCGCCAGAGTCGAATGTTGGCATTGTACATTTCCGCAAACACAGATATTACATTTGTATGTAGTTCAGGTGACGTGGGCTGAGCTTCTCATCAGCAGGAGGACGGTGGATGGTGCGACACCTGGTTGAGATGGCTGTGAAGCTGCAGACAGCAGCAGAGCACTGTTTGAAACTGCAGAAGCAGTTACTTGTTGACAACATTAGGGACATTTCCATGATAGAGTGATGACATTTTATATCCAAAAGGTCAAAGGTCAGCTTCACTGTGACGTCATAATGTTCTGCATAAAACACAGAAGGGGAGACATTTGGTCAGATACTGAATCTGTAACACTCAGCTTGGGTGACCACCTTGAAACTGTGCTGATGACTGGGATGATTTCCAACAGTCCTTTGATAAATCACATATGACAAACGCTTCTGTCTGATAAGAAAACATAACCAAATCTGAGCTTAATATAGTGATAATTCATCATGATCGCTTTATTCTATGTCTCATTTAAACCAAGCCAAAAATAAACTGTTGCACTAACCAACCAGCATGCATGACAGGAGTGAAAAACTACGGCTATTTTCAACTCAAGGATTTTGTCTTTAACTTTTAAAGGCGGATTTATACTTGTGCGCCACCTCTATGTAGAGCCTTCACAGTAGCCTACACACGTGGCCTACTCTGCTGTGAGCATTTATACTTGTGCAGTGGTGTGTCTGTGTCACTCTGCAGTTACACCTCCAAAACAATAGTCAGCAGTGCGGTTTAGTTGGTCCAAAACACACATTAAACACACATTAAACATGGCTTAATATTAACAATTTTAAACACAAGTACACAAATCGGTTTCATTGTAACTCACAGACAAACACTTGTCTTTATCTGGACACATTTTCTCCACAAATACAACATGCTAATGTTATTAGCAGAAGCCTATGGCATTTTACATTGTGTAAATTAGCCTAGCAGCTAGCGGACTTTTCCTCTACTCATATGAAGCCAGGGACAACAGCAACATTTAACAAAGGTAATGTTAGAAAATTCGGCTTCATTACAACTCACAAGGTTCACTGACAAAACAACTGTCTTATACTAAACAAATTTTCCAAACAAAAACAACATGCTAATGTTATTAGCACAAGCCTATGGCATTTTACATTGTATAAATTAGCTTATCAGCTAGCAGACTTCTCTCTACTCATATAAATCCAGGGACAACAGCAACATTTAACAAAGGTAACGTTACAAAATTCGGCTCCATTACAACTCACAAGGTTCACTGACAAAACAACTGTCTTATACTAAACAAGTTTTCCAAACAAAAACAACATGCTAAAGTTATTAGCACAAGCCTATGGCATTTTACATTGAATAAATTAGCCTAGCGACAAACAGAGATTTCCTCTGCTCATATGAAGCCAGGATAAATCACACACAAGACTTAAAGTGCTATTTTTGTGGAGGCTTTACTGTCTTCACAACTTATTGTTTCTTATCTGTGAAATACAAGTAAATACAAGCTTTGTTTCCACTGAGGGAAATGGTATCAGCTTACAGAAATAGACAGGTCTGCGTCTCCATGACGTGTTTACATCTCTGGAGAGGTGCACGTCAGGGTATGGTGTAGGCTCTACATCGACGCAGAGCCTGTGCCTTAGGTATGGCGTCTAGTTGACGCAGAAGTATAAATCTGACTTAACTTTTAGCTTTTAAACAACAAAGGGTAATTTTAAAATCTAATAACTAATTTGTAGTGGAGGGAGGGTCATGCATTTTCTGCCAGTCACTCAGCGAGGCTCAAGGAAAAATATTTGCAGTTGTTTCAGGAAGTTTAAAAAAATATATAAACCGAAGCCACACCCCAGCCACCTACTTTGATAAATAAAGAACAG